TGGAACTTGAAATTTCTCAAATGATTCTCTGTCAGGCTGAGGCTAAGCACGAGACTGAGATTGAGTGTTGAGACTTAGCCAAAAGTTTCTTCTCTCTTGAATCTTCACCAATTATCACTTGTTTTTCTCAATGTTTTCCAACCTTTTTCTCAACTACAAAATAACAACAAAAAGTTTGTAAGTTACCTAGTAATGTGAGTTAAAGACTAAAGTTAACTTTCTCTAAATTTAAGTTAAATCTTAGACGATTTTATGACCTATATGGAGAAAAGACATACACTAGAAGGAGAGGTTGAATTGTGTGTATAAAAAACTCGTACTTTTGTGCAATGAAGAGGAAATTTTACAAAAGAAGCACTGAAGAAAAGTCAAATGGAGCACCAAATATTTTTATACCGGTTCGTCTCAACCACTGAGACTACATCTAGTTCTCAATCAAAATAGATTAAGTTCTAGTAACTTTTACAAAGTTATAAGTATTCTTTTACCAAGCTTCTTCTAACTCAAACCTAAGTAATATTTGACTTACCTCTTTAAGTAATTATCCAAGTATTTTTTCTACAAGTCTCTCCAGGCTCAACACCAAGTAGTACTAGACTTTCTATTTTAAGTGGCAAAACCTGAGAAATCAAATTAAGTTGTTAAATAATTTCTCTTATAGGCCTGAAGTTATTTATACCTGACTTGACTACGATTGGTCTAATCTTGTGGTTTGATAGGATCTAACTACTTGAACTACTAACCTTTGTTGTAGGAGACCTCCTTAATTAATATGTCTGGTAATGCATTAATTAATTATTGATGTAGATGTTGAAAATGTGATACTAAATAATAAACTTGTTGACTTTTACAATAAATATTTTAAAAGTCATATAAATTATGATTCATAATTAGTTTGATTGTTGAAGTTTATGTAAGATATACCAATAAAAATATTAGCAATACATAGATAAAACCTTGAATAAGTTATTAACTAAAGTTACTTCACTATAAGCTAACTAAGAAGAAAAGAATTCATCAAAATAATAAATAAAAAATTCTTCTCAAAGCTTATGATATATATTACTATAATAAACCAGATTGAGATTTTTCGTGTACACAATTTTAGTCTAATTCTTTCTTTTTAAAATAAAAGAAATTATAGCACTTATCAGTTAGCCATCATTATTAGGATGAGATCTTGTTTTGTGAGAAGAGAAAGAGAAAAACCTTATATTTTGTATAAGATTTGAAACTAATTAAGAGCTATACTCAACTTTATAGCTTGTTTCCATGAACAAGGTCATGGTAAAATTGAAGAGAATGATAAAGATAGCTTTTATAACTTATTCCACACTAATAAATGGTAAGGGTAGTGAAAATTTTTTGGTACTTTACCCCTAACTAAGTAAAATATGAAAAATTCATTTCTTCTTTGATTTTTTTGAATGCAGAACATTAAAATAGAAGTGTATGACTAAGCTAAAATATAACAAGTTGAAATGAAAAATCTGCAACTTCACATATACACAAAGGAGAAAAACTAATATGATATATTTGATTTATGAACTTAATTTTGTGCACGTTAAAAGTGTTACAATAAGTGTTTAAATACTAAAACTAATTAACTCCTAATTGAGTAAAATAAATAAAAAATTATGACTAAACAGAGAAATTTGGGAGAGAAAGGAGCTCACTGACCCAGAGATCTTCTCTCTAAAACTTCTCTCTAAAAACTCACATTTTCCTGAAGGCCCCTAACCCCTATTTATAGATCCTTCGGAACGGCCCGTTCTCCTTCCGGAACGGCCCGTTCCCAATCAGTAGTTTGGAACGGTCCGTTCTAGCTACTGAATTTATTTTTTTTACGTAAGCTTGGGAGGAGCTTTGGAGGAGTTACAATCTTCACTTCTCCTACTCTTTCCATCATGAAGGTTCGAACTCGACCTTGAATGTGATCGTGCCAAGGTTCGAACTCGACCTCGTGTTTAAGCAAAACGCATTAAGGTTCGAACTTGGCCTCGGGTTAGCATAAAGAATCTTATGGAAAAATGATATAAGACTAAGAGAAGTTATTTTATTGATTGTTTGTATGTGCCTCGTTAAAAACCCTCTCAACCAAAGCCCATTTTTCTATTTTTTGGGAT